CGACGTCCGCATAAAAAGAAATAAGACACTAAATAAACGTCTACTTTCACGGACGGCTTCACCTTTATGCGATGCGGCGAAAACTGCACAGTTATCCCTTCGTCACTGTGATGTTGAGCTTACATTCCATTTTGCGTGAAAGAACAATTTGCTTAAAGGGTATACGGAATTAAAATTGCTGGAGGGTGCCAACGTGGTACAGCAATCGGGAAATTCTCCAAATTAGTTTGACATCGACCCAATTCTTATTACCTAGAAATAGAGTTGACAATTAAATAATTTGATTAAAAGTTTAAAATTGCAGTCTGGCTAGCCACTCCACATATTTCGAATCATAGCACAGATTTTGTGGCAAATCGTTCGTTGAGTGCCTCTGGAAAATTGCTACAGTCTAGTGGACATTAATTTGTTTTAGTCACATGTAAAATGGTTGGTAATTCTCATTTGTCACGTCGTGCAGGTTTTAAGTTCGGAAAATTGGAGTAATGACAAATTATATTTATTTCATATGAAATGACAGTCCCATAAATTTAAAATAAAAGACAACTGATGTAGTTTTTTATTATCCTTTTATAATAAAGTATCGTAAAATATATTTAAGGTCTACTCTAGTTATAATCAAAACCATTAAAATATCATATCATGTTTTTTTGTATTAGACAAGTAAACATATTTAACTCTTTTTTTATTTTTAAAGGTGAAAATATTTTATTTTCCAATAACGAAATACTTGATAAACACAATTTCTTCTCTTCTTGACTAATTAATAAAATATGGCAGTTAACTAATGAAAAATGTACACGTTGCTTAAATTTTTTTGTATCTCACTTTGTATACTCACTTAATATTTTTTGTATCTCACTTTGTATTCATACGAAAACTAATTTCTTTGTCGTTTGATATGCTTTGTTAGTACACACTTTGACCATCACCAGAAATAACACAAGGAAAATAAATAAACAATAGTTATAAAAATAAGTCATTGTAGATTATTCACTTGTCAAAAATACATTTAGATAATATAATTGACCAAAAAGTTAAATTTATTAGATAAAACATAAATTTAAAAATATCTCATAAATTAATAAAATGCGTCTGTTCATTTATATGTACAAGTAGATATAGCGAAGTCTTTTTAAAAAGTTGTACTAAACTTGTCAATGTACTGTAAATGCTAAAACTATTCAAATAAAACTTGAATGGTCGCATCGCTATCTGCGGAAACTTATTAAGATAAGCCGTAACGGATAAGGCCGTTTGTCTTATTGGATAAATGGATAAATTAGGTACTCGCCCCCATTATCGACATTCTGATGGACAGTCCTAGATTATAAGTAATCCTAATGGAATTATATATCGATTCGGTTAAATAGTTTATGCGATAAGTTGGTTCATATAAATTGCTGAATAACATCCGATACCAGTTTATTGCTTGAATGATTTTCATTTGCCACTAGTTATTTTTCATGGGTTTGATAACATTGTACAAACCTCCTTATTTTTGCTTTATTTTTATGAATAAAATTATGTAGTGTAAAACCAAAAGTGATTAGATACTTTATGTTTAGTCAGTTTATTAGTCGAGATAAAAAAAAACAATTTTTGAAAAGTGTCGAGTGTTTTGATTAATCATTAATCATGTTTTGATTAATCATTTTGATCATTAATTTTTACAGAATAAAATATAAAGGTTGAAGTTTCATCAATCTATTTAAAGGTCACCCAAAGCTCACTTCAAGCTAAAAACAAACAAACTGTTTGTCTTGTTATCTTGAAAATTAAGGTTAGCACTTGAGAAAACATAGTAATTTTGAAGGCACAAACAGTTACTACATTTCCGTTTCTATCTATAAAATGAATTTTAATGTTGTGGCCTGAATAATTAAGATTGTCAATGTACCTCAAAACCAACTCTTAATGATCAATGAAAATTCATACTTTAAATTATGAGATTTTGTTCTTTAAAACTTTTTTAAATGCTTGACTAGTATAAATTCATTAAATGTAAACAGTAAGTAACTTGTATTATGAATAGTAATAATTTAAAACATCTAAATGAAAGCGCAACCGTGACTAACATTGAAATATGCAAGTGTCAGTTTGTGCATGTGATGGCAGTCGAAATTGCAGCCGACGTTTAGTCATGCCCAGTACCCTCTGGTACTTGCCTGTTATGTGATACAAGTTCATAATACGACATCTTATATTTACTTAGCTGTAAGTAAACATCACAAATAGTATTTGGATATTTTTAATTTTATTAGATGGAAATATTCAATTTATTTAACAATGTTTATACGTCATAATTATTGTAACAGCAAGAATTACAAAAAGGTAAAATTAATTTTATTATAAAACAATCAATTTACGTACTTTAAAACTTTTCTCTTTATTAAAATTAAGTAACTAAATATGTATATTAAATTATTAAGTGTTTTAGTATCTTTGTATGAACAGATACTACATAGTCCCCGGTTGAGGGAAATAAATTACGCAAACAATTAAATATCGGCAATAATGCGAACATGGGGTGCGACAATTTGTCTAGACCGCTCCGTTGGGGTCTCCTGCCTACATTTATTCTACAGCATGATTTTATTTCACTTACAAAATGTTTGTCAAAATTTAGAAGTATCAAAGATCTTTAATATCGCGGTAAAATACAATTTTTAATGTTTCAAATAAGTTGCCTCCAGTTAACGTTTAGACAAAAATTATAACTTTTTATTATTAAGTTATTTACGAGTAATTAGCAAAACCTTATATTATGTTTATTAATTCAAAGAAGAAATAAATCGTGATATATATTTTATTTTAGGTAGCTATATAATTAAATCTGCCTGTATAATGTAACACAAGAGCAGATCGTGTAGTTAATGTAATTATGAGTCAGTAAGGTAAACGGTCCGGACTTGTAGCGATTACGGATTGTCTGTGTAGCAGAGGTTAAAAACATTTTATCTCAACCTAACTTACTTACATTAAATCAACAAAAAAAATGTAAAAGAGATCTTTATTGCAAAATGATACAAATTATTTTAGAATATAAAAGAAATAGAACATAACAGTAAGTTTTAGAATAACTATATTTATTGTTACTACGGACCTTTTAATACTTGTGTGCTGGGAGAGTAACATATGAAATAAAATGTTTGAAACATCTGTTTTAAAATGGAAGTAAACCCTCGTATTTATAGGAAAGTTAATTAACGTTGCTCTAAGTCAATATTTGTTCATGCAATCAGTATGAGTTAATCTGCAATTTGGTAATTGCAATGAATTTTCAGCTCAATATTTTGATTGTGATATTACACTATTTTTTACATTCAAACAAACATATTTGCTGTTGACTAATTAATATAATACTATGAAATAATTTCTACACTTTCCTGATTAAACCGCGCGTTACACCTATATAAATTTATATGTATATTAATTAATCCGTAATCCTTATGTTTTGTCGATCAAATAGTTTTGATGTGCATCAAAAAATTCCAGTAATTTTTTTACATAATCAGAGAGAATTTTGTTTTATCAATACTAATATTATAAAGCTGAAGTTTGTTTGTTTGTTTGAACGCGCTTATCTCCGAACCTATTGGTTCGAAATTATTTATTTATTTATTTGTAATCAACAGCGTATACAGATTATATTTGTACAGTTTTTAAAACTTCATTAAGACTATGGCCACATTGTAAAGTGTTTAATATAATATTTTTAACAAAGTGGATAACAAAAAGAGTGTAGGTGTAAAGAAAATAATTGTTAAAACATGCAACTAGAGGATATTAACAGGTATATGGGTATTTTTATGTGCGTGTGTGTGTGTGTGTGTGTGTGTGTGTGTGTGTGTGTGTGTGTGTGTGTGTGTGTGTGTGTGTATGTGTGTGTGTGTATGTGTGTGTGTGTATGCGTGTGGGTGTGTGTGCGTGTTTATTTTTGGCGGTAAGATAGTATAATTTGATTCTTTAATTGTTTTTTTGATAAGTGAAACAGATCTAAATGAGAAAATAATTTATTGTATGTTCGTGCTAGACGTATACTTATAGAACTTTTTGCATAATTTGTGTTACATTTAGGAACAACTAGTAGATGGGGGTTTCGCGATCTAAATGAGGAGGCATTTAGAGAAAATGCTGACACTAAACTGGGGCAATCCATCGTACCAGTTAATATTGCTTGTAGTAACAGCATATCCTTTTGATTCCGTCTCTGCTCTAACGAATCTAGTTCATAATTAATACAGGCTTCTTCATAACTGTCAAATATTTTAAAATCTTTGTACGCTAAGTATTTGAGAAATTTATATTGTATGGATTCGAGTCTCTGAATATGATTTTTATATAAGGGTGACCATATGCTACTTGCGTATTCCAAGATACTTCGAACGTATGCAAAGTAGAGTATTTTTATGCATTCAATATTTTTAAATGATTGCGTTGCTCGCTTAATAAAACCAAGTTGTTTGTACGCCCTATTTGCTACTGCGTCAATGTGTTCAATCATTGAAAGTTTAGTATCAATTATAATGCCTAGATCTGTAACGGTGGATTTTTTAGTAATGGTCGTGCCATTGATTTTATAGTCGAAATTAATTTTTGTTTTTTTTACGAGTCAGAGTTATATAATGACATTTCTTAATGTTTACTGTAATTCTGTTTTTCGCGTAGTATTTTGTCAGGGCATTTAGATCATCTTGTAATTTAAGGCAATCCTCGACTGATCTTATTTTACAGTAGACTTTTTTATCGTCAGCGAACATCAAATAGTGTGAATGTTTGAAACAAGTTCCGATATCAAAAAGATATGTATTGTATAGGAGGGGTCCCAAAATGGATCCTTTGAATAATTCTTTTTGTGTTGGATAGTCCAGTTATCGAGGAAGGCTGTAGGCTATATAACATCACGCTACGACCAATAGGAGCAAAGATATAGCGGTAAATGTGTAAAAAACGGGAGAATTTTTTTTATAATTAATTTTATATGTTGTTAATATTAGAGATATCGCGGGTGACGCTGGTCGGTGGGTGAAGCTGGATGACGGTGAGGTGTCGGAGTGCGCCATGCATGATGACGACGAAATGAAGGCTCAGTGCTTCGGAGGAGAATACACGGGAGAGGTGCGGATGCAACTTATATATGTACTACTCTAATATTATTATTAAAAATAGTCCTTAATGTTATTTAAAAGTTTCTTCAAACTTTGGTTTAGAAGAAAGTTTTCACATTATGAGTTTCATGACGCTCTGTATTCTCTATTATCTTTCTTATGATATATAAGTTACTTTACAATTGAAGTATGCGTAATGTACATACTATTTTCAATTAAAAACATATTACATTTACTATTTAAGGTATTTAATGCAAATTTAAAGAGGGTGTCATATAAGAGACAGAAGAGATGGTGGAACGCTTACATGCTATTCTATACACGAAAGAACATGATTGATACATCCGGTCTCGAGAGAATCATGCAAAACATAACACTTAAGTGAGTTCCTTTACAAAAGCAATTTTATTTAAAGATTTTTTATAACAACTTTGAATTTAAATTAATTGTTTTTAGGGAAAGTGCCATACCCAAACTTATCTGGAATTCGGTTCGTCGCAGTAATATCGCTTTCTCACGCAACCAGGAACAGTTCAGTTTAGAACATTTTAATTTCATGAAGAAGCTATGTTGTATGCGCATGCAAGTGTTACCCAGCTGACAGAGCGCGGTATGGGTAAGATATATTAAGTTATAAATTAATTATTAAGTAGAATATTATCTTATTCAGCTTTACATTGTAGGGCCCAGAACACGAGGAAATGTCGATGTTAGCTGTACAGTTAGCAGCTAAATTCTTGTTCCAAGTTGGTTTCCATACAAAGAAAACATTACGTGGACCCGCTGCAGACTGGTAAAGAATTCGTTGTTATTATAAATTTTATTATTATATATATATGTCGAAATAAATCTACAACATTATATAATATTTACAGGCAAGATATACTCTGTCAGCATCTCAGATGTTCTCAGGCTGCCAGAACTTGGTTTGCGACCGATCTGTTCAAACATTCTCACAGGTAATTAAAATGAATTAATATTTGTTTTAGATTTACAAAGTATTCGAGATATACAACATTTTTTTTGTTGCCAGGTTATGTGACTACTTACTGTCTTGTCCCTCGACTGAAGTAAGAGTTGTATTTATGAAAATCATCGTATTTTTGGCTCATTTCTCCATACAGGACTCACCAGGTATGATACAGTATCCATAATATTATTTAAAATAAAAAATATAAGATATTAAAAAAAACATGCATTTGTTTTGATACGGAAATAATCGCATTTTAATTGTTACAATTTTTACAATTATGTAATACTTTTATATATATATTCGTGCTTTGGGAAAACTTTATTTTACTATATATCATTAAAACTAAAAAGGTTAAAAAAAATGATATGTTATTATTAAGATGTCCAATTACAGCTCCCTCGCCGTTGTCACATCTTAATTTTAATCAATCAATCACTGAACTCTTCTACCTGGCAATTTACCCAGCTTTAGCTTTACATGTTGTGAATAGTTTTGCCTAATTGTTTTTACGATCTCTTTGGGAATGCATTAATCAGTGATGTCTAAATACTCTTAGAGAGTACATATGACTCGGAAAAATAACATTGGTACTTGCCAAGGCCAGGATCGAACCCGCGCCCTCGTGTATGAGAGGCGGTCGTTTTAACCACTAGGCCACCACTGAATTATAATACAATAATTTGTAGTGATTGTAAATATTTATAATCTTATACGAGACAGGTTCACACTGTGTTCTACACACTATTTCTTTATCTCGTAAACTCCATAAAATTTCACTTTGGAAGTTAAATTATTTTCTAAATTGATAACTGTTTTTGAAACTTCTTTCGTTTATCTTTTACTATGTACATTTAAGATTTTGATTACATATAAAAGTTATTACTATAAAATATTGAAAATTCCTGTCGTATAATATCACTTACGTATTTTATCATCATCCAATGAAGATATCAAAGGGAAAAAGAAATTTAAAATTTATAGCTGGAAATTTTTCGGTTAATCTGGTAAGAATATATTTTTTATTTTTAAATACCTAATACTAGCATAATACAAATATTTAACATATTATGTATGTAAAAGCTTTGAGATTTGTTAAAATATATTAGAGGAGGTGATAAAAAGACAGTATTGTTAAGAATAATAAACAATTTTTATTATATATCTATAGTAAATTTACTGGACATGGCAATATATAATAAACATTTTAAAAGTAAATATAGTCTTAGTAAAGTAAAAGAATTTAATTATATTTTTTAAATATATCTTGATGTATTTTAATTTCCACAAAACTCTCACATACTGTAAGAAACCTTAGAACAGCCCAATGTCTTGGTTTCTTGGAAGAGGCTATAGGTGAAAACTGATATTGTAATTTATATTTAATTACACTGACAAAGATAGAAAATTAAAAACTCTAGTTATACGTTTTACGGTAATATGCCTGATTGATGATAGACACAACGTGATAAGGAATCATTATTTTCACATATATATTTAAAAAAATCCAACTTTAAAGAGGAAATTAACCATTAAAAAATGGGGATTTTTATATCATTCATCATAAATTATTAGTAAAAAAACAACTTATAGGGTATTTCTTTTCTAACAAAAGGGAATCATCAAAGTCCACTGATACACATATAACATATACTTTCTAATTTAAAAAAATGTATGTCTTCCTTCTAACTATTGAAAGGACAAAGGTATTATAATTTACACATGATGAAATTCGGAAACGACGGAAGATTCTAATCTTTATGAGTATTGGACCACTTAAAACAAAGCTTCCAAATAGAAGTCTCAATAACATTTACTAGGTATCACAACAGTATTTAAACTTTGAACGATTATACAAATTAATGTAATTTTAGAAACAGTTAGGATATACAACCACGAGGTAATAGTCTATGCAGTGGGCTATTACTTACAGGAATAGGCCAATTAATAACGACTGAGCCGCCATACTCCACGAATGTGATACTATTAGATCGGCTTACTAAATGACTTCAAATAGGCAGTGTAATTTAATTATTATTATAACAACCCGTTCTAGCAATAAGCGGTCAATGATTATAAATAAATGTTAGACGTAATAATGATTATAATATTACTACGCTTACATTAGACTTTTTTAAATAACAACGGGAAGAAAAAATAAAATATTTGTTACAAAACTTTTTCCTCTTTAATTTCTATGATACTCTTGTATACAATAAGAATACGTGGAATTCATGAACCTTGCAGTATGTTTAGAACATGGGGCGACAAATTAATTCAATTTATAATCGAAATTCGAGGCTCGACGTGTCATATCGCCGAGAGCGAAGCACGCGCGGGGTTACGAGGCTCATATTGTTTTTTTTACACAATTACAAAAACAATTCAAGAGTTTTTGCTTGGAGAATTTTTGTAAATGTTAATTCCTATTTCTTTTCATTACCTTATAAGTGTTAATATGTAAGGGATGTAGGTATTAGTGAAATGTTTGTTTGTAGGGTAACAAAAGCTGTCGATATATAATTACTTGTTATCAAACACATAATAGTTTTATAACATTTGCCTTTCTGTTTGTATGTCGATACTTGAGATGAATATTAAAGTGTAGCGTTTGAACTAGTTTTTCCAAGCTAAAGTTTTTTATAAAGAAAAACTAAGCCATAGTTTATAAAAAACAAAGTAAAGAATTAAAAAATGATTTACGAAACTAAATCTTATAGTACAATAGATATCTGATTTTATATTAATTTGTTTAAAAGGATCCTTTTGATATTTTATGAAAAAGGGTCTGGAATATAAAATAAAATCCAGTCAAACATTAAAGAAATCTTTGATAGTTGTTTAATTGAAAGCCACTTGAGTCTTCGTGCTCGTGTCATATTTGCCTGAAGCGAGACACGTGACACCGTGAGTGCATTGCACCGTCGTTATTGAGAAAATTGAAAAACTTTGCTTTAACCTTTGAGGACAGTGATCTGAAAATTGTCTGACTAGAGTTTAGACAGTCAAGATAGTAATTAATTAAAAAATATTCAAGTGGGTATAATTTCAGATAAAACTACTACAAACTATGTATAATTAAAATAATATTTTTCATCAAATTTATATAGAAAAACATTTCTCTCAAATATTTAGTATTCAAGAAGTAGCTACAGTATATAATTAATTATAATTTTATTTTGATATTAAAATTCTTAGCTACATGCATATTATGAACATTAATTGATTTTTGGGTATATAAACTGGAAGTGGATCGTCACTACTGCCGTGTGTTTCAGATTTTAGGATCAGCATTATGTATGTAATAATTTTTTATGAGTTTCTTATAATATTCATTTTCATATAAAGCAAACAAGTTTCATACAATACCGTCATTTTCAAACTGCTTAGTGAGCATAAGAATGCATTCTTCTAATATAAAATATTCATCCAAAAAGCGTTGAATTGATCAGCTTTGTGTATTGGTTGGGATCAGTTAATTAGAGCAAATCACATGGCGACCCTTTACAAAACTTGAAAAGAAATATTTCATCTTTACGAGTGATGTCAAATTTTTGAATCCCTGATCGTTGATAAAACTCCGAGGGTGCTACAGACTAGATAACCGTTTTATTTTAATAAAACTCGACAACAAATAACGAATAAATATTCCCTTTTTATTGTTGACTTGCGATGCGACCAATAGTATGATTTAGGGAGAGGGTTCTGCGCGACGAATTGTGGCCGAGATTATTTGGGATAGGAGAGGGATTTATATCACTGTCAAAATGTCTAGTATCAAGTTTCATCAATATTTGTTTTCATCAATCTCGTTGCTGCGTGGTGTTTTTAAAATTTTATGGTAATCCACAGCAGGATGATTCATTAATATGCAATGAACGGATTGTAAAACTCATGTACTGTATTTATTCAAACTGAATTCATTTTAATTTCAGTTTCTTTTTTATAACACAATTTCTACACGTGTTTTAAATAAAAACACAAAGTGAGAGGGTAGGACTTCCCAAATCAGTTGACTTTATAAAAACAATCATCTCCAATTCCTTCCTGTGGTGAGAAAATAAGAGACATACGCTTGATGTATTGGGATACAGTAGCTATCACTTTTTATGTGAGCAGTGATATATAATGACATTTCTCCCAGAATTTAAACGTCCGGTTTTCGTTATTGTACTTACTAAAGGCGGGCATAACCCTTAATTAATTTTGCATGGAAGTAGTCCCATTGAACGCTTGTCTCTAAAAAAATAAATTAAAGGCGTTCGAAATCATGATTCTAGATTTTAGAAAACAGGGCAATGTAATACAAAATACAGAACTACGTAAGCAGTAAAGTTTGATTACAAAAATGAAGGAAAAGACAATAAAAATAAATAGTCATAAAAATAAATGTGGCGTACAAACAATAATGGCAAAGTTTATCTTGTCTCTTGCCATCTCATTTCAAGTTGGTAGATGTGGTGATAAAAAATGCACGTCTAATACTAGGACATATGGGGTTGACTGAGTTTCCATATTTTACACAAAATAGACCAAGAATAATGAGTTTGCAACTATTAACATTAAAAAAAAAGAAACAGAAGTAGCAGTAGAAATTATCAATTATTATTATTTTTTTATAGTATTATTCAAACATATTAAAACAAAAATCGCAAGGTAAAAATCCCCGTGACTTCGTTAAAGACGTAATTATTTTTGTGTAAACAATCGGACTAATCTTATATACAAAAAATAAGCACTGAAGAGACGATGTCCTCTTTAATCGTAACCATGTTATTCTATTTGTTCTTTTAACTATTTTTAAAGTACTCAATTTCTTTTAGCCAGCAGCACGCGCTCGGGGCAATACGGTAAAAGTCTGCTAATGCAAAACTCAGTCTGTCCATTTGTCGTATGTCTCAACTAATAGAGAATTTCCATTTAAAACTTAGTTTACAGAGGGGATGTTATGTACCTATTTATTTTTTTAATGTCGATTTTAAATTGCGTTCGA